TGTGTTTACACTCACTCTTTCAAATAGAAGTAAGTAAAACACAGCAGACTCAGCGGTCCTGTTGCTCTATTTTTTATCTGTTGAGCAGGAGTTGAGCAGGAGTGGGGCAGGCGGAGGTTTGCCCTGGTGCAGGTGTGTCGCAGCCTTTATGTCAGTGGAAGAATCCGGGAGTTTCTCTGTGAGTTTCACATTCCCGTGTTAGCGCACTCGGTGCTTGATTGGACGTTTAGGGGGGGTTTTTCGCTGTAAAAAGAAGTTATCTTCCCACACAGTGAACAGCGGACGCTAATGTTTTTGTCACTTTTTACGGAATTAAACTCAAAGTAAGGTCAGTACTTCCACGCTTTAAACGCTGCACGCTCATACTCTCTCCGCACTCGATATATGATCCATTATTGATCTGCACACAGCTGTTGTCACGAACGTCGCACTCGCTTACGTCATTGACATGAGACACTCTCGCAAAAAAATCACGGTTTTAGTAACGCAGTATTGCAGCGTGCTTACGGGAAAGTAACGGTAATCGAATTATCTTTTTTGCAATAGTAATCCCTTACTTTACTCGTTACTTGAAAAAAGTAATCGGATTATCTCTGCAGATAACACTTATCACTTTGTGTTGTTTTAAGCTGAAGAAATTGTGATTAAGTATGTAAATGTCCTGAGCTTTAATAACAATAATACTTTGAAATACATATGTGCCTCATGTTAATTCCTCCTCAGTAGCTTTTCTTTTTGTCTTTTTTTCTGTCAGAAAGGTTAAACAAGAACTAACAGTTCTGTACATCGGCACTCTGAGCGGAGAGAAAGGAAAAAATTTGTGTTCAAGACAGAAACAACTTACATTTTACTGTTAACACAACTTTGGTCTTTGCAAGCATCTGCACAGACAGTATCCTAACACAAATCTAGATGAGAACCATGCTTGCATGCTGACCCCAGTCCAGCAGCCAGACCCTAAACTTCAAAAGGACACAAAAGCAGTGACGAGCAGTCAGGCTTGCAGAACTGTGGCCTCCATTTCTACCTGTTTCTAAAATATTACATGTTTATAACATATGATATTTCTGTTCATACCTAAAGCTTGTGACAGCAAATGTGTCAGCATTTTTCTTTTTCAATTCAAATGTTTTGTCCTGTAGACATTACTGTGTACTTTATGTGTTTTTTTTGCCCTACATTTAGCCTAAAGTATATTTTTTATGTATAAAGTTTTACTGGGTGATCTCTTTTCTTGCCTATGTAAATTCTTTGTTTTATGTGTATATGTGTTGATGCTAAGCTTAGTTTAAGAGATGTTAATCTCAGCAGACGTTTTGTTTGAAATTAAGGTGTAATAGATAAATAAAAAACAATGTGAAATAGGTCCGTGAAGGTTCTCAGTCAGCCAGGTCTGTGTAGTCTAGTCTAGTCTTTTCTTTCCAAACTCCTTAGATTACAATGTGAAATAGGTGTAAAAACAATAGCAGTGAGACCCAAAGAGAAGGACTAACATGGATTGGGAAATGTACTCCTGATGTGAGAACTGCATCAGAAATCTGAACCTCCTTGCTTTGCTTTGATAATTATGACCACTTTTAGGTGAGTATTGTTCCCTACAGTTGAAATAGATCTAAACACCAAAACAGAGCATATAGCAAGCAGATCTCTGATGTGTGTGCTCAGCAATAAACAACACTAAATATTTTAACCCTCAAGGAGCTTGTAAGACATAGTGTGAGAGTGAAGTTAACCTCTCCTTTCTTCAAACTATTGAGGCACTTTTGAGTTTCTAAATGAGACCTGTATTTACAATGGTAATGTGAATTTAATTTATATAGCACATTTCATTCCAAGTAAACTCAATGTGCTTAACATATAAGATTAAATCATTAAAAAAATCTATGTAGGTCTACTATGCCTTAAGGCAACGAAACAACAAAGAAAGATTTAGACCCAAAAAAATCCAAGTTAACAAGGTTTTATATGTAAGATTTTAAACACAAGGCTGTGTGTTATGTAACAATATAGTGGAATTTAGGGTATAAAGTCACTGCCTCTGTGTGTGTTGTTGTGCATTTGATCCCCTCACAGCTTTAATAAATACCTGAAACATTCATTAATATGATTTTTACACCCAACATTTAGTCCATTTTAAACCAAAATCTTAAATCAATAAGATGAAGTTAAAGATCTCATTGGACATAAGACAAATGGACTGTTAATATGACCACACTCTAAATACTTTCAGAAATCACTGAAAGTTTTTCAAGCTATCATGTTTACAAACAGAAAGATTGACGTCCATTCAAACGCTACCAAAAAATATAGTCTCCATGGTAGTGGTAATAAAGTAAGTCAAAGAAAAACAAAGAACTATCTAGGGACTGTGGTCATGGTGAGTAAATCGGTTTTAATTGAATTGATTTTGCCCCATGCTTCACTTTATAAGGGTTCAGGTAAACTCAGTCAATTAAATAATTATACAAAAAATGAGCTTTCACAATAATACTATGATTCAATTATAACTGATAGAAAATAATCCCAATTTTTCTCAGTGACAACCTTTTTTTTCTCTGACTGGCTTAATATCTGAGTCTGAATCTGAACTGGACATCTCTGACAGGTTGCATCGTTCCAAATCCGTATCGACTGAGGTCAATTTCAGGAATCTTCACATCCGGATTCTTCAGCTCAAACTCAAAATAGACCAACATGAGGAAAACAAACTGTTTCAGCTCATTGGTGGCAAAGAAACGGCCAGGGCACATGGAGACCCCAGATCCCCAGGGCATGGTGTAATATTTTACCTTCTTTCCTGCTTTGTAAAAATCAGTTTTCTTGGTCCCGTCTGGATTCAGGAAGCGGTCATATTTGAATATGACCGCTTCACCAACCATTCTCATGTTATTACGGTGTATCCATATAAATGGCCCACCCTGTAGTTTTTTGTATGGAGGGCTTATGTTGAGTTTTTAAAAAAGGACTGGACTGGAAACCACCAGTAGGAACCTGTATGCTATGGAAGTGTAAGGAGAAAAAAAACCTCCTGTGCAATTAGGAGGTGGACAACCTCCTAATTGCAAAACCATGAAAGCACCTACTGTAAGACCTGGAGAAGAGTTTCATTCCAAGGATCTAGTGTGGAAACTCACTCCCCCCTAACACAAAGCCTATTAACTTTCTTAGGAAGACGCAAGTTTGCAGATACACCATACTGCCAAAAGTATTTGCTGGTCTGTCTTCCCACTCATATAAACTTGAGTGGCATCCTATTCTTGATCCATAGGGTTTAATATTAATTTAACTCCCCTGGGAAGGCTTGCCATATTGTTTAGGAATGTGTTTCGGGGAAGTTTTGAGCATTCTTGCGTTCTTTTCACTGGATTTACGGGGGAAAGCCCAACTCCTGAGAATCACCCCCACATCATAATCTCCCCTCCACCAAACTTTAGATTTGGCACAATGAGAAAGGGAGAGACTGATCGTTAAGACACAGAGCAAAGAACGAATGCATTTCAGGGGTCTTGTAGATCATAACCTTCACAACCAGAGAACTAAACTGGTGCCTGATTTTAATCTCAGAATTCTGAAAAGAAAAAAGGCATGGCCTGAATGAGCTGATATTTTATATTTTTATTTAGCTATCCTAAACTCTTCTGCAAAAAAAATAAGGCCATTTGGCAGGCCTAGTGTCAAAACCTGTTTTTTTCATGGTTGGCTGTGTGGCAGGCAGGAAAAAGAACCCAAAATGCAGGACTCTCAGAGACAGGACTTAAACTGAAAATGCAGCTTTATTGCTGGAAAAACTCCTCAAAATAAGACTCACAAGAAAAGAACAAAAACTCTGAACAGAGGCGCTGGAATACTGGACCATGACAAACACACAGCATGGAGAAAGTACGACACGACAGAGAGCACAGGAAAACACAGGGCTTATATACACAGGGAAGTAATCAGGGAATGAGAAACAGGAGGGAGACACAGCTAGGAGAAATTAGGTTAACGAGACAAGGGAGAAGTAAAACTGAACACACTGACATGAGACATGAACTTTCAAAGTAAAACAGGAAACCAGAAATAATTCACAAAGATGCGGACTGAGAAACATGGACTTTACACAGAGGGACACACGAGCAGAGAAGACTAAGCACAGAACTAAACCTATACTAAACATGAGGGCAAGAGAACAAAACTTAAATCAGAATAATTATAATAAATGTCAAGAGATTTATTTCAAAGACACTTCTTCAGCTGAGAGTCTAAGAGTGAGAAAACACACAACGCTGCAGTTTTCTTGCAAGGGCGTGTCGCAGAGCGCTCACACAGAGTGGGGGCCCTGTGAATGCGCGCTCTGTTCTTGCACTTGTCTTTATTTATACACGAAGAAAAATAAAAACATTTTTCAGTGGAATGTTGATACTGAGCATGTGCTATGTGATTGTGTGTGTGTGTGTGTGTGTGCTGTGTGTGTGTGTGTGTGTGTGTGTGTGTGTGTGTGTTGTGTGTGTGTGTGTGTGTGTGTGTGTGTGTGTGTGTGTGTGTGTGTGTGTGTGCGAGGCAGAACTGGGGAAGATTCAGATAGAAAAATCAGAACACGTTTTATAAAGGACAATCAGTTTTAAGCAAGGAAAAGGTCATCATGCAGTATTCTTTCACATGTAAACTTATATCACTAAAAGCGTATACTGGCTACTTAGTACAATTTTCCATTGACAATAATCAACACAGGATAGCTAAAGAATCAGAACATAAATATAATGAACATAATCTAGAAAAACACCAAAATAAAAGAAACCGAAAAAGCTGGGTCAAAATTACCCAGAACCGTGACAGTTTTCTTCTTAGTTATAATTTACTTGAACAATGACTGACTGTTCCTAAACAATTCTGGTAAAAAATAAACCAGAATCACGCATCTAGTGTCAACAGCATGCAATGCCATTGACCCCTCAAAACTTTATTTTTCTTACTTATGATTAACTAGAGTGATATTTGTTGCCAGTGTTCACTCATTGCTCCACAATCTCTTCATACCTGCTGTCATAGAGCTGTTAACATAAACATAATATCACTGCAGGCTACAGTATGTTCTTTTGGATTTCGAAAGAGGGGAATCTCTAGGACAATTGGAAAATCGTGTCCTCAATTGATACTTAAGTACATTATTATTTTTTTTTAGTAAACAATTCCAAACAAATTCGCAGAAACCTATCCTGGGGGAGGAGCAAAGGTCTGCTCATTATAGCAGACCTGAAAGTTTCCTTCAGATTAATCTGTGCTGGTTAACAGAATCAGTCATGGAGCTGCTGCTGCCGATACTTCTTGGCTTTCTTGCTTGTCTGGTCGGAGGGCTGTACCTTCTCGGAGTGTTCAGACAGCGGCGACCAGGAGAACCCCCCCTCGATAAAGGGCTCATTCCTTGGTTGGGTCATGTCTTAGAGTTTCGCAGGAACACCTTGAAGTTCCTAGAGAGAATGGAGAAGAAGCACGGTGATATATTTACAGTACAGCTGGGAGGGTTTTATATTACATTTGTCCAGGACCCTTTTTCATTTGGGGGGTTCATTAAGGAGAGTCGGGACAAACTGGACGCTCGAAAGGTTGCTCTGCATCTGGCGCACAGAGTGTTTGGATATAAAGCTGTTGAAGGGTGGCACGGTATTCTCCGCATTACCAGCAACAAGCACCTGAAGGGGGAAGGTCTGCAAGAACTGACCCAGTCTTTTATGAGTAATTTGCAGAACATGTTGTTGCACAACATTGGATCAGCTGCAGAGGACAGGACCTGGAAAGAAGATGGACTGTTCAGGTACAGCTACAATGTTGTTTTCAGAGCTGGATATTTGGCCTTGTTTGGCAATGTGCCACCCAAGTCAGAACAAAGTGAGGAGAAAGCCAAAGAGAAAGACAGAGCTGAATCAGAAGCTTTGTTTCAGGAGTTTC